TGTAATTCTATAGAATTTCCTTTTATAAGTGATTTTTTTTGTTTCTGTTTAACAGCTTTTAAGATTTTGTCCATATGTTGGACTTCTGGGGATTTGAGTATGATTAGTGGTGGTGCAGTCTGTTTCTAATTGTGGCTGTTTTGAATTCTGCATCTTACTTGTATGTTAAATTCTTTTTCCTGTACTTGGAAAGTTTTCTGCTATTATTTCTGTAAATAGATTCTTTTTTTGTATACCATTCATATTGCTTCCTGGTTTTTCATTAATTCCTGTTAACTTTAGATCAGACTTTGTGTCATATAGCAAATTGGAGATGCATTTTCCATGTTTTTTTGTTGTTTTTAAGGTAAGTCTGAGTACATGCTTACCTACATCAGCCCAGTCTTTTGGTTCTGATAGTGTTTTCTCATTGATCATTTCTGCTGTCAATACTTTCAATAGAACTTTGAATTTCATTTGTGCTGGTCTCTAATTCTTTGCTAAATTGATTGTTTATGTTTTGCTTTGTTTATTAGCTCAGCTAGCTTTTTATTAGTGTCATGTGTAAATTCACTGACCACTTTATGAACTTTGTTGCCTGGTTATGTCATTGTTGAGTTTGTAGAGTGTCTCATTGAATTTTTTTTTTTTTGGTCTCTTTATCATTTCATGAAATCCAACTATTTGACCTTTGTTTTCCTCCCTGTTATTGCCTCATGGATTATCTTTGGGGAACTGGGAAATTTGTGGAGGTATTTGTTGCTTTGTATTCTCATATATCTCTTGCTCATTTGTTTGTTTATTGTGCTAAGAGTTGGGGTCTGTTATAGTGGAAAGACTTTGTTGCTGGTAAGAGCTCTTTAGTTAGTGTCTGCTTTCCTGTGATGCACTAGGGGTGTGGCTAACTATAGGCCTTTGCCTCTCTTCCAAATCCGATCACCTCTTCTAGGTGTGGTATATAATTGGCCCAGCAACCATTTCCCCAGAAATGAACCATAGCATTATTGATGACACACAGACAACCCAAATATTGGTGTACAGTAAAAGCCAGTTAGTGGCAAGACCATCACTGTGGCAGTAGCATTGAAATCAGCTACAATAACAGAGTCAGAGAACTGGTTATTGACATACCATAAGGATGAATGAAAGATACCACTCTGAATTATGGCAGGTGCTTCAGTGGATTTCTTCTCCAGCTCCAGCCTGGTATATAGAAGGAGTCACTTTGAGAGTAAAACCCCATGCTGTCTTTGCAGTTTACAATAACCTTCGGCTTTTCTAGGGGTGAATGCTGCTGGCCTGGCTCATTGTTTCTCCTTGGAGTTGCCAATCCTTTGTGGGCTTCGCAAATGCTACTTTAGGGGTTCGCTTCTTTGGGACCCAGAGTTTGTTTTCCAGACTGCTTTGTTCTTTTCTTTGCATTATACTCTGTTTTTCCAGCTTCTCTGTACTTTCTAGTTTTCCTGTTAGTTCCCCTCAATTTGTGGAGATCTACTTGTTTTTTCTTTACCACGTTGTCTTCCACGTGTCCCCATACCAGGTCCTAGAGAGGTTGTATTTTGTTGCTAGTCTTTACTCACTATTAAGCTGGGAGATTTTTGTTCATTGCATTGATACTAACATGAACAGACTTTTTTCCCTTGTCACTGTTTCCTAGGCAATACAACATGAAACGTTTTTATAGTATTTACAGTTCATTAAATACTGTAAGTTTTCTAGAGAGATTTTAAAGGATAACAGGTGTATTGCATATGTACCTAAGTTATATGCAGATACATGCCATTTTCTAGAATGGACTTGAGTATCCTTGCATTTTTGTATCTAAGGTCTAAGGACTTTAGAGTTTGTCCTCTATGGTATTGAGGGAGAACTGTGTACAATTTATTAGTTTTGTCTACTCATATTGTTGGGTAACAATCACTACATACTGTTTTTCTCTCTACTTAAGACTTAGCCTAGCACCTTTGCACTGAGTACTCTCTCTACCCATTTTTTTGAGTTAAAGTCTTTCTGAGTTACCCAGACTGGGCTTGAACTTTTATAAGCTAGTCAGCATCCATGCCCGGGTTCACATTCACCTTTTTTTTTTTTTTTTAACTCAGTCTTTCAAAAATCTTTGCATCTACAAGCACTTTCATCCTTCATATTCCCATCCCTACCCAGACTTTACCATGGATTTCTCTTCTGAACATCTTGTGTAAATGGAATCATACATTGCTATATGTGGTGTTTCATGACTGGCTTCTTTAGTCAGCTTAATAATTTCAAAGTTTATCTATATTGTAGCATTCATCACCCATTTTGTTTTTTTGATTGCTGAATAATATTCTGTTATGAATGTATCATGTTTTATTCAGCCATTCACTGGTGCAGTTTGGGTTGTTTCCCGTTTTGGCTGTTATAAATAAGGTTATTATGAATATCTGTGTATAACTTTGAAAGGAAATGAATTTTTTTTTTATTTTTTGGTAGATTTCTAAGTGAGAAATTTGTATATCCTGTGGTTACATTATGTTTAACTTTTTACGAAGCTGCTAAAGTGTTTTTCAAAAATTGTTGTACCATTTTATATTCTACTGGAAATATATAGATGTTCCAATTCCTGTATACATATACCACAGTGTCTTGATTAATGTATCTTTGGAGGAAGTTTTGAATTGTAGATTCTCTAACTTTATTCTTCTCTTTGATAGTACTCAAGTTTAGGTCTGTAGATCAAATTGATTCACCTGTTTGTGCGGATGTAGCTCACTGGTAGATCTATGCTTAGCTAAAGTGAGACCCTGAATTTAGTCTCTAACACTACAAAATTATAACTGGTTTACTATAGAGTTTTTATAGCTTTTTCTGTATAGTAATGACAGTTTATAATTACACATTGTGCACTTACATGGTAGAAGTGTGAAATGACAAATGAAAGTGACAGTGTGAATACAGAGTTAATTATATGATTCTTGAACATTAAAACTAAGGATGAACCATGAGGCTTAATAGGAGTCATTTTTTTTAAATGAAAAAAGAACAAAGACAATGATAGAAAATTTCAAAACATAATAGGAGATTAATTAACTGGTGCTGTATTGTGTATTGTTATCTTCAAAGTAGTTGCTCAGATTACAAGATTTGGCATAAAAAATGGTCAAACAATTAAAGCACAAACTGTTCTTTTTGATAAACTAACAGATTAGTGATATAGTTATCTGTCAAAAGCCAGATGTGGTGGCACACACCTGTAATCCCAACACTTGACAGTTTGAGGCAGGAGAATCGTTCCAAGTTCAAGACCATCCTGGGCCGCAAAATGAGACCCAAGGCCAGCCTGAACTGCATAGCGAGACTCTGTCTCAAAAAGAACAAAAAATAAAATAAAAATTTTTTAACCCGTCATATATATGTGTACATGTATGTGTGTGTGTGTGTGTGTGTGTGTGTGTGTATATGTTACGTGTATTTTCCCCCTTCTTTCTTTTTTCCTTCATCCCAGTTCTTTCCTTTTGAGCAGTTTCTTCCCCTTTCACTTTCACAGTATCATACATTTTGGATCCTATTTGCTCTTTCAGAATCCCTTTTTTCTTTTGCTATATAGTACATGTTTTCAGGGCAGGAGAACAACTTTTTTTTTTTTATCGGTACCGGGGATCGAACTCACAACTGCCTGCTTGCAAGGCAGGTGCTTATGCCGCTGAGCTAAATCCCCAGCCCAAGAGAACAACTTTTGAGAAAATCTTTTCATTCTGGTTTTTGCTAAGTAGAAATAAACAGAAAAAGAGCATGTTAACAGGCTGAAACTGTTTCACTTTTAGTCTATATGTCCATCCTTGCCCCTGATTAAAGCTGTGTTACCATGCACTGAATTGCCATACATTACTCATTCTAAAATGGTTCAGTATTTGGTCACATGATAGAGTTAACCATTCCTTTCTAATGTTACTTTGATTTTTTTCCTGGTTATTTTCTGGGTGAACTTTTTTTCCCTTTTTCCTCTTCTCTTTTCTTTTCTTTGTCTTTTAGGAGGTTAAGGCCTTGCTGTGTTGCTATGTTGCCCAGGCTGGCCTTAAACTCCTGTGCTCAAGTGATTGCCTTGCCTCAGCCTCTAGAGTAGGTGACTCTATAGAGATGTACCGTCATGCCCTGGTCTTTCTGTGAACTTTGGAATTAGCTCAGATGGCTATAACATTGTAGATGATTTTATTATAGTATCATTATAGTTGTAGGTTAACTTGAATAGAACTGATGTGTTTCATGATATTGTCTCTTGAAGAACATGGGTGTGTCTTAGAAATGTTGTTTTTATTGTTTGGGGTTTTTTGGTACTGGGAATCAAACTCACAACCTCACACTTGCCAGGCAGGCACTTAAACTGCTGAGCTAAATCCCCAGCCATCTTAGAAATGTTTTCATATGTAGGTCTTTTACATCTTAATTCTTCTTTTGTTTCATTTGTAAATAGGGTCTTTTCTTATATTACATCTTATATATATGATCATATATGATATATTATGGTTATTTTCTGCTTATTTATGCTTAACTATCACTACCAATTTTATTCATTGTATTTCAGTTGATTTTCCAGTATACAACTATTATGTACCAAAAATAGGGCTTTTTTGTTATTTCCAAATGATTATATTATCTAATATCTTTTTCTCATTTATTTACATTTGATAGTAATTCTGAACAGTATTAAATAATAAAGGTATTGTACTTTCCATGAAGTCTTTCTATATTTTAAAAGAAATGCTTTTTTATTTATCCTTCAAGTTAATTTTTGGTGGATTGAAATAAATATTTTTATTATATTGGAAATATTTCTCCTTATAAAGAATTATCCTCAATAGAGATCCTAAATTTTTAAATACTTTTCAACATTCATTGATATAAATATTTTTTTCTTCTCAAGTCTAGTAGAATGAATTATGTCAGTAGGTTTCATCTTTAATTATCTTTGCATTGCTGGGTTAAAACCTACGTGTTTGAGAAGTATTTTTGTTTTTAATGTTCACTGAATTTTTTTTTGGCAGGTTTATCATGTTCATTCTGATAGTTATGAGACACAAAACCAGCACTTTGGAAGAAGCTTAACAAAAGAAACTATAAAGGATGGTAAATACTTAAAAATTAATGCTTTTATTATCACAATGTTGAAATAATTCTAAAATTGCTTTAATTCTCCTTTTAAATAGTGATTCAATTCATAGTAAACATTTTTGGGGGAAATGAAGCTTAGATTCACAGAATTGGATTAATCATAATTGTTACTTTATAACAACAAAACCATGGGATCACAAATGTCCTTTTTTTACATTTTTATTAATTTCTTATAAATATGGGTGTTAGTTAGCTTTCTGTGACTGAAAAAATTTCTGAGATGATCAATTCAAAAGGGGATGTTCATTTTTGTTCACAGTTTATCTATAGTGACGTGGCCTTCTTGTTTTGAGGCCTGTTGCAGCATCATACATCATGGCAATAGTGACTGGGGAAGAAAAGTTCACTTCATGATGATCAGGAAGCAAAGAGAGAAGGAGCGAGAGCTGGGATCCCAATATTCCCTTTAAGGGCAGAGCCATAGTGATCTAGACCTGGAAGATTTTTCACTGTCTCCCACCAAGCATGCCTACGACACGCCCCTTAGAAGACAACAGATCTAAACTATAGAAGCACCCTTTTTAAAGATATTAAACATCTGAGGACAAATCTTTTAGCTCAACACTGAAACTAAGGTTGTCATTAAAATTTATGTTTTAGGTAGATTATGTGTCATAGAATACTGAAACTGCTTGTTATATAGAAGACATTATAGTGTATCAGTCATGTTGCATGTAATGCATTTTTTGAGACTTCTTATGTACTTTAGAGCTATATAAGCTTCTAGGTGTACCAAGGAACATTAAATGGTATAAAACAGGGCTAATTAAAGTTGGTTACATACATGCTTCTGAATATTGATAGTCAACAGTACAAAAGCAAATATAACCTGTATCTCTGGAATAGTTTACTTTTGTCTCTTCTAATGTAGAGAAGAGTTTATGTGTAATACAGAGTGAAGAATTTTTATTTTTAGAAGAATTTTTATTTTATGTATAGAAGATGGACATCCAGTGTGAACTTAACAACAGGATAGTGTTCAATTGGCTATTTTAAGAATATTTACTTGGGCTGCAGTTTGGTACTATCTAAATACATTTCTTCTATACAAGAGAGGGTGGACACATTAATTATAAAAGTAAAAATCAAATGGTATATACCTATAAATTTCCAAATATGATAAAGTTTTAACATACAGTTTTAAAAGTGGTTAGAATATTTAAAAATCAGAATTTTGAGTATAACGTGTCAACCTAGAGAAGTGTTAGTCCCAGAAAAACATGCTTCACTTTTATGAAAAACAAATCAGTATTATTGAGAAAAAGAAGAATTAGTAGAATTATGGTTTAATACTTGGTTGTGGGCTATGACACTATTAAAAATAGTTATTTGATTTTGGATTTTAAATTAGCTCTTAAATGTGATTGTAAGAAGCAGGTAGTTTTGTTATAAAATCCATCACAATAGCAAATAAAACAAAATTTGGAATTACATTTAACTATATTTCTAGCCTACCTGTAATAAATTTCTGTTTGAATAAGAAACATTGCTATTGTTTAAATGTTTTCTAATACGAAATCTTCACCAAAAATTAGGTTGTGGTCTAAGTTTTTATATCTACCTATAGTAGAATTCTATGACTAATAAGTATTCAGATAATTGTAAGGGATAATGGGAAGAATTTGTAGAATTTTATCTACTTTGAGTTTTCTTTCAAGTAGTGATACTTCATAATTTGATTCTAATCCTAATACATTTTATTTTATAGGCATCTCCAAGTTTTTTCATAATGGGTTCAGCTTAAGAAAAGATGCTATTGCTGCCAGTATTGAGAAGATTGAGAAAATTCTGCAATGGTTTGAAAGCCAGAAGCAACTTAACTTTTATGCAAGTTCTTTACTATTTGTTTATGAAGGTTCATCTCAGCCAACCACTACAAAATCAAATGATAGAACTTTGGCAGAAAAATTCTTGTCCAAAGGACAACTGTCAGACACAGAAGTACTGGAGTACAATAATAACTTTCATATGTTAAGTTCCACAGTGAATGGAAAAATAGAGTCTTCAGTAGGCAAGAACTTATCCAAGATGTATGCGCGTCACAGAAAAATGTATTCAAAGAAGCATCACAGTCAGACTTCACTGAAAGTTGAAAATATGGAGCAAGACAATGGATGGAAAAGCATGTCACAAGAACATTTAAATGGAAATGTACTTTCCCAACTGGAAAAAGTTTTCTGCCATCTTCCTACTGGTTGCCAAGAGATTGCAGAAGTAGAAGTGCGAATGATAGATTTTGCTCATGTATTTCCTAGCAACACGATAGATGAGGGATATGTTTATGGTTTAAAGAATTTAATTACTGTACTTCGAAATATTTTAGACAGTTGAATCTTTTGCTGCAGTCTTTTAAAGAACGAGCCAGTTGTACTGAAGAGCAGTAGTCATTGTCTGCATCTGTAATGCTGTGTAAAAACTTTGTATTGTGAGTCGATGTTTTATTTGTCTTTATACTTTTGGTAGAAAGATTATCTTTTTTATACTCTTACTCAGGAATACTAATTTGTTCATTAGAAAACTATGAAGAATAAAGAAACAGGAACGTTAAGCAGGGACTGTGGTGGTACATGGCTTCAACATCTGTTTGGCTTAAGCAAAATACAAATCATTATTCAGTTATAAGAGTTTATTTAGCTTTTTGTAGCCAATTTATCATGAAATCTCTGTCCACCCAACCTTGACAATGAGCCATATGTTACCTATTACATTATTAAACACCTTGAAAAATCTAGAAAGCACAGGTTAATGTCCTTAGTATTGGTATGTATGAAGTTATAAAACTGGAGAAAAATCCTACTTCAGAAATAAGTACTGTTTAGGTTTTATATTAAAAGTTCAGACCAGCATATCAAAGGTGCTTCTTAGTGAAATGGTTTAGAATTGTGGCATTCCAAAAGCAGATTTCCCTTTAGTTTCCATTTATCTGTTTCTTTCAAAATACTGTGTGAAAAATATAATTGAAATCAGCAACAACAACAACAACAACAAATGCCTTGCTGTTAAGGGCACTGATATTCTTAACAGGGTCAGAAGAAGAGAGGAAATTATTTTCTTTTAAGTTCTTTATGGCAAAATTGGAATTGATGCTCATTACATTGTGAGAAGTGTCATAACCATGTAACACCTTTTTCTCAGAGGCTTCAAGAAGGTGGATGATTGTTGTTTTATTTTTCCTTTAAGTAATTTTTGAAGGCTTTCCTTTTAAAATTTATATATCTATATGTCTCTTGTCAAGCAGTAGTATAAATATTTGTTGTAAAAAATAGTATTTTTCCAAATTTAGTTAAACAGTGAAAGATGGCATCGAGTTGTATAAATGTTAATGAAAATACTAAGCACGTCATACAGTGTTTGGTGCATTATCTGTATCCATACTTGTACTTCACAGTTATTTTATATCTTATTCAACAGAGAAATTGTAATTTAATTTCACTAGGGGCAGAAGCAATGTTACTTTTCCTGGAAAAATTAGATTTGAAAGTGTTTTATTTTACATATACTACCTTTTAAAATATTAACTATTTGACACTAAAAATATTAACTTTGAAATTGAATTTGCAAATACCTTTGATGTTAATGGTGTTATTACTTCCCCTCTGGTTTACTACATGATTAACATAAGTGGTTGAATAATTTTTCTATATTCATGTTTGGACTGGGAGGTGAGTCCAAACAAAAACAACAAAAGTGCTGTACAAATTTTGTGTTTACTAAATCTGTTAAACCGGAATAACTTTAAAAAATCCATGAGTCAGTGTAAAGTACTTTTCACAAGGACTTCATGGTTTTTCTCTGCAGCCCAAGTGAGTTTTGGCTATAGGGTTTTTGTTCATTTTTTTGTCAGAATCAACTTCAAATTATAATTAATAGAAAAAAAATTTTAAGTTTTATGTTTTTTCTTACAATATAGACCTTTGTTGTTGTTGTTGTTGTTGTTGTTTCAATAATGGTTCAATAGTAGTCAGATAATAAGTACTATGTTGAATGTTAAGGCTTTTTCTTAATAAAGTGTTATCAGATCCTTTGCTCAATAAAGTCTGAATCAGCTGTTGCAGATTTTCTTCATCTGTATTTGGAAATATAGTATTGTAAAATCTGTGTCTTACCTTTTTGATACAATAGATCATGTTTTGTTTTTAAGAAAATAAAAAGTGCTTTTATCTTTGTTTTTCAGGGAAATGATTAACATTTAATTCTTTTTGTTTACATTTTTTAATCACTGTTATCCAATGCCCATTTTACCTTACTTTGTAAGTAAGCTTTCATGTAATGTAGTAAGTATCTATTATGTATCTGTGTGTGACTATTTTATTATCTAGTCCTGTCTTTTAAGATTACCGTGAAATTTGCCACTGTGGGGATGAATGATCACTATTCAGCAATCATATTTAAACATGTAAATGTTTAAGAAATAAGCAAAGTAAGGTTATAGTTTGAAGCAGTAAGATTATTAGTCTCCCCCCCAAACATGAGTTAATAATTTTGTGTGTTTCTTATGGAATGCACTCATAAAAAGGACTTTTAAGAAACTGTGGATGTGAATATATTTCTCAAATAAAATTTAAACTGTAAAATAGTTTTATAATAAAGTATTTACATTAATATTTTAATATGAATGAAAGTTGCATAGATTCAAATAAATTAAAGTCAATGATAAATGATAATATTTTATCTAAATAGTTTTTCAAAAAAACTTACAAACATGTATATTAAATGGATGTACCATGGATCTTGTGGTATTTCAAATCAGTATTCATAATTCTTTGTGTGTTTGGAAAACTCATACTACTTTGCCTCTTTACACTACAGTTTGCTACTCTGAGACTCTGTTCAACTGAATAAGAACTTTTGTTCTGAATATTGAGTGTAATTTAGTATTTTATGATTTCAAGATGATCTTTATGTCATATCTTTAAGTTTACCAAATTTAATGACATTTGAAAAAATCAGTTTCCAGAGTTCTTTAAGTTTTCTTCTTTCATGGAACTAAAAACATGTTCATTTTTAGGATTTGGGATATTGTGAGATGAAAGAAGACTAGAATATTGGAAGATTCCATTGTGAAATTGCAGAGATTTTGTCCACTATTTTAAAGTATTGTCATCATTTAGCATTATTTTCTCTTAGAATTTGATTTTTAAAAATTGATTCGCTTTAAAAATTGTTTACAATGCTTTGTAATTATCTTCCTCATCCAGTGCCTTTGACCTTGGTTTGGTAATTTGTAACTTCAGTTATCCTTTCTTGTACTTTCTATAATGTTCGCGTAGCCCAGGAGACTTTGTCTTTTTAAAAATTGTCTCTTTGCTTATCTGAAGAGGCGGCAGTTACCTAGTGTTAGGGAAACAAGTAGCACTGCCCTTGGAGGCTGGCTTCTTAGTTCATTCAGAGCACTTATGGACATACACCAGGTGCCAAGCACTGTTAGCCGCCTCTCCTCCAAGTATTGAATTAGGATGAAGGAACTAATATCAGTGTGATAGAGAGGTTAGAAGTAATGTTTTTCTGGATCATAACCTTCATTTGATTCTTGAATTCGGATGGTAGTTACAGATTACATGAAAAAGCCTTAATTTTTCTTACTGATAAAGGTACGTTTATTTATCTGCCCATTTGTTATGGTGTTTAATGTAACATAACTGTGAAAAACATTCCATTACATATTCACAAGCGGATATTTTAGGCCTCAATTTTACCTTCAAATAACCTGATATTTTAAGTATGGCAATGTGAAATTAGTTTTTGACTCACAGATATAGCTTAAAATGTTTGTTGATATTTTAGGAAGGTTGGAGGCACCATCTTTTGTTATTAAATTGTTACGGAATATTGATAGCATCTAAGAGGAAATACTGTTCATACAATTAAATTAGTATATGCTTTCAATTTTAATTTTAAATTTTGTTATTGAGGTTAAATTTTGGCCTGGTGTTCACATACAGTATAAACAATTATGAGGTTGAACAGTCTTTATGATGTACAATGCACCTGCATATAAATAAAAATGGTGTGCACAAAGACACTTTACATGGGAATTGTACTGGAAGATTAATGAAAGCATGTGAAATTGCACCTAAAATTATGTTATTAGTGACAATGTGCAGTGATACTTTTTTTTGTTTTGTATTCCATGAATGAATGTATTTAGTCACAGTTATTTTGGTTTAAGTGTCTCATGTCTTTAGTTTTTTTTTCTTAGTGTGTTTGTAATTTGTACTATTGATGGATATTCTTGGACTGCAGGGGTTATTGTCAATGTGTAATTTGTGTTTTATAGAATCATCTAATGTGGTATACCAATTTTTATAAGTAATATTTAGATAATTCCAATAACTGTATATTTGACAACCCATTAAAATGTTTTTCATTGGAGCTTTTTTTCCCATTAATTGTAAGATGCTAGCACACTTGTGGTAACTTGAAAAATAACTCATTCAACAAATATTTGTGATTCAGGTACCAGAAATTAGGGAAATCATTAAGGATTCAAAGATAATTAAGCTGCATGTTTGTGGGAAGAAACATGAATCTCAGCAATGAAGTTATAGCTATTTTGAATATTTTTTCTGCCATCAGCTAAAAACTTTGGAGTTAGCCTAGTAAGAAAAGTAAATGTATAGGAAAAACAAGTTGACTTGGCTGTGAAGATATATAAATTTTAAACTTCAGTATGTAAGATATTTTTGCGTGAATGAAACTGTGAATTGGTTGCCTAATCAGTGACCAAGTCAGTCTTTTCACTTTTTAAAGATGACAATGTCAGACAGTCTCTACTATGCACAGTCTTTGGCTTTGGTAATTTTAAAAGGGTGAATAAGATTCAGTACCTCATTTCTCAAGATACATACTGTCTGGTACAGAGGAAAGTTCATGTCAGTGCGATATAAAGTGTTACTGGGGTTGTGACTGACACACTGATAAGTAAAATTATGAGAGGGAAGTCACTTCGCATAACATGAACAGTGATTCATTACATTGCAGCAATTTTAGGTCAGTGCTCAAAATACATTCCTTCTTTATTCCTACTTCTGAATGTACACTGTAGGACAGATCAATACTCTGTGAAGTATTTTTTTTTCTTCCTGGCTGTTTAACTGCTGAAAATAAACACACTGCTCTACTCAGTTTACAGCTGAGTATAAAGATGATGAGCTGAAATGACAGTAAAAATAATTTTAAGAGTGAAAATAATCACTTGGGGGATACTGATTAAGTAGGCCTAGATGGGGTCTACCATTTAAGTTGTAAGACTTGCAAAACATTCTTAAGTGTAGGAAGCACAGTAGAATTTGGACAGGACAACTCAGTAGAGACCCAGCCTGGCTATTTGAAAACAAGAGAGCTGGCAACAGAGAAATAAACAGGTTCAAAAGTGAGCAAAGGCAGCCAGCAATGATGGCTCAAGATAATGCTGGCCATTTTCAATTGGAAGAAAAGTTCATTAGCTAAGTTACATCCTCAGCCACTGCCTTCTGCAATACATTTTGGGAGGTATGTAATAATAAGCTTTTCATGTTGTATTTGTGCTATTTGCATTTTTCCCTATGTGAATAGTACTTTGTCAGTTGAAAACATTTTGTATATATACTGGGTACTTGTCACCTAAACATTTTAGAGATGTTGTGATGTAAGCGGTATGGTACAGTTGGTTAATATACCCTGAAAATGTTTGATTTGATGTCATAGCTATGTATTTCTAAGGAAAGTTAGGAAGGTCTTTAAAATTATTTTTCCAGTGCTGGGAGATCAAACCTAGGGCCTTGTATGTGCTAAACAAGTGCACTACCACTGAGCTACACCTCCAGCTCTTAAAATTGTATTTATTGGGGCTGGGGATTTAGCCCAGTGGCATAAATGCCTGCCTTACAAGCAAGCAGTCGTGAGTTCGATCCCTGGTACCGATAAAAAAAAAAGTTTAATAAAAAATTGTATTTATTACGTTAGCATACCTTGGCAAAGTATCTTGAAATGTTATAAAAAATATAGGTAAAGGATATAGCATTTATTTTGAAAATGAATTTGAATAGATTGAATTGGCCTGAATACTGACTTCAGTTGTTTATTCGAGTTTATTAAGAACATTCTGTGGTTTGACCTTTGCTAGATGCAAGTACATTCCTCTTGCAGTCTCCTGACTATGATAGAAAGCCTTAGTTGCGTCGTTTGCTTTCATAGAACAAGTTCAGAGAAACCGGAATGTGAAAGTGTCTGGACATTTGTTAGTATCTGGAGAATAACTCAACACATTTTAAAGATCATAAATTTAAGGTAAATTGACAATTTCTCAGTCTTGGATCCAATTCAAAGAACTTTCTCCTCCCAATTGTAAAGAAACTACTGCCATAACTTTTAGTTCTCAGGTCTTTTTTTTTCTATACTGTTTTTAACTAGTACATGTTTGCAGTGCATAATGATTACATTTACTGTGGGCAGTTGATACATGTATGTAATGCACAGTTTTTTCTTTCCATCTCCTATCCCTCTCTTCCCTCCCCACTTTCTCCAACTCTTGGGCCCCTTCACATTTGTAAAAGTTCTGTTTTCATAATTTTTTCTTTTATTCATCTTCTTTCTCTTTCTCCTCTTTCTCTTCCCTCCCATGTCTTGCTCCTTCATCCATTTGAATGAGAATATACATGGTACATATAGAAGAGAAACCACGTGATACTTAAGTTTGTGTGGCTTCATAATGTGGTTTCAGGTTATACCATTTACCTATGAATGCCTCAAGCTTATGACAGAGTAGTACCCCAATGTGTATAAATAAAATAGATTTTCTAGGTAACTTCCTGAAAAAGTTGAAGTTGTCATATTGTAGGCATACATGAATACCCATGTTTAAGGCAGCATAATTTGTAGTAGCTAAGTCTTGGTCTCTCCATTACTTTCTTGTCACAGAAGCACAATAGCCACCATCTACAACTTAAAGGAGGAAAGGTTTATTTTGGCTCCAGTTTGTAGAAGTTTCAGTCCCTAGTCTGCTGGCCCCAAGGATGAACAGCGTGAGTCATGAAAGGAGAAATAACTTCTAGCATGGCAGCAGGAAGCAGAAGAGAGAGATCAAAGGAGGAGCAGGGAAGAAATAGATTTAGGCCACACATTAGTGGCCCACCACTTATAACAGCAAATCAGCCATGGACTCCCATAATCTAATCACCTCCCAAAAGCCCCACCCACGAGCACATCAAGTTTTGGGGGAATATATAGATATTAACCATAACATTCAGCCCCTTGCCTGCAAAAGACTCCTGCATCTCTATGCAAAAAGTGTCTAGTCTGGGATTTGCCGAAGTCTTAAGAGCTGCAGCGTTGCAAGCACAAAGTTACTCTGAGATTCAAGGCAAACTCAGCTGCAAGCCCTGAAAAAAGAAAAGTTAAAACATTTTCAATATACAAAGGCACAGGGTAAATATTTCCATTCCAAAAAGGAGAAATGGAATAGAAAGCAATGGGACCAAAGCAAAATCAACACCCACCAGAGTGTACAAATTGTGTAGTTCCACGTGTGGCAGCTGGGGCAGTCTGGCAGTATATGAACTCCAGTGCCTAAGAGCCCCAGTTTTCCAGCATCGCTAGTGGCTGTGGCCCTTGTGGCCTCTCACCAGTTTTGCTCACCCCTTGGAGCTTTTCTCAGATAGTCCATGTTTCTGGGTTTTCCAACATTCAGCAATTTGCACTGCACTTTTGGTTTCACCGTCACAAGCTCCCACACTGCCCTCTCAGGAACACACTGCCTGCTATCCCAGGCCTTCTTTTGAAATCTGTGTGAAAGGCTCCCTGCCCTTACAAATCTTGCTTTCTGATATTCTGATTGCATCTCAAAGCAGTATCACAGACAGTCTGTAGTTAGCTGTAGCTATAGCCAGGCTTCCTGAGGGCCTGGATGACAGGGTGCTAGAAAATGAACAGAGAGGAACAAATTCCCTAAGTGGCCGCCTTCTGGAGCATGGTGCCCTGGGACTTTCTTCTGGACGCAAAGACTTGCATTTTTGAGAAGGTGAGGCCCTACTGGTTCCTCACATTACTTCAAGGCATTTTTTTCTACTGTTAAGGGACTCAAGCTGCTTTTTAATGCTAATTTGTTCACCAAGCTCTCCACTGCTCTATATTTGCAGGCTCTAAGCTTACAGGTGCTTCCTTGCTGATGAAACTCAAACCTTTTCAAAACACTCAACTGTGCCCTTTGCTCTTGTTTTTCAGTGTAGAGCTGTTTAAAAGCCTCTGATGGTACCTATGTATGCCATTGCTTCAACTTTAAACTGCCTTGGAATTTCTTCTGCCAGAGAAATTTATTGTGCCACCCTTAGTCTCAGCTTCCTACAATGTCTCTGGACACAACCAAAATGCAGACAAATTTTCTGTCAGAGAATAACACATTCCATCTTGGGTCCAACTAACCAGTGAAGTCCTTCTGTTGTAGGACTTCCAAATGATTATAACTCAAAACCTACTAGATGTCCAATAGTTACAAGAAGCTGAGTTAAAAATGTTATAGGCAGTCAGACAGGGCTAGGCCCTCGAGGGAGCCAGCACAGAGGACCAGATGTCTTTGACCTTGGAGGAGAAAGACACCTCATCTGGGAGCCAGATTTCAAGACAAAATGCAAAGCAAATACACCCATACCCTAGGGATTGACTGTCTAAATAGTTTATCATCCTAAGGAAGTCAAGGAGTCACCATCCCAAACCCCTACAGGAAGAGTCACTGAGATTAAGCATGCCCACTTAGTACATGACTTGCTTCCGCATTTGTTTCTGATTTAATCAATTTTACCAGAGCAGTTAATCTTATCGTTTGACCACAGTGCTGTCCCACTTTATGCCCACCTTGCAAGTTCCCATTTTTCCCTGTTGGGAGCCGTGGAAGCTAGAAATTGACCTAGGGCATGAACCAGAGGTGACCCTGCCATTAAACAAAGAGTAACCTGGTCAGTCAAGTGAAGAAGTTGCTATGGCTCAGGAAAACACCAAGCCCCTAGACAACCCAAGCAATGGATTGCTAGGCAGAGGGACTGAAATTGACATCATATATAAATAAAAATGCTACATTGGTTGAGCAGTACCTTTCCTCCCATCCGGAGGATAAGGGCTCCATCTGACCTCAGTTTTGTCTCTTGTTTTTCTTATCCTCTTATGGTCCTTACCTCCAAGAACTTCAGGAGCTGCATTGGGTCGTGGCATTTCCCCACCTTGGACCCGTCTCACATCATGATTTTGCTTTATAAAAGACCCTAGAAAAGACAGAGTTCTTGGCAGCTGCTGTACACTAGCAAAAAGAGCTTCACTATGTTTATATGACCAAAGTAACTGTAAGGCTGCCATACTGTTCTGTATGCGGGTTTTTCCCCCTTCCCCCTGGGTGACCTAATTGA